TTGATGAAAGCTTTCTTACTTCCGATATAATAAATTCTAAAATCCCAAGTTCTCGCTAGAATTTGAATTACATCTCAAAGTCACTAGTGAGCTGACTGTTACAGTTTAGCTGAAAGGATTTTGTGGCGATTTGTTTGGTTTATTTAACTTTGAATATTTATTCATATCGACTCGCTGCTATACTGAAGTGAAATGTTTTCGGAATTATCAATTATAATGACAATCACTTCTCTACATTAATAAACATCAATAAGATTATAACATTCTTAAAATCTTTAATTATTTTCACTTATTTCTTTTTCGTACATTTTAGAATCTTATCGGTATGAATTTAGCCGGTTTAGAATGTTTAGCTAGAAAATTGGAAGAGGATCAACAAATCGATCTATTCGATGAATTAATAACAACGCGAGATAAACGAATCAAAAAACACAAAGCTAAACAAGCTCGTCTAACGCCTTTACTTCCCGACTAATTTTGTATGCCATGGAGTATATATATATATATATATATATATATATATATATATATATATATATATATATATATATATATATATATATATATATATATATATATATATATAATTTGTAAATAAAATAGAAATATTGTACCGTAATTTACAATAACATTTATTCATATTTTACATAGTGAAGTGAGGGGGAAGGGAGGGAGATAGCAAGATAGGCCGTTTATCATATTTCATGTTTATGATAAATAGAATGATAATTTCATATTTCGTAATATGCGTCAATTAAATAGCTTTAATAAAATTTTACTTAACCATTATATACATATACTTATCAACTATAGAATATAAGTTATACTCTAGAAAATTAAAGATATCAACAATCCTAGTATTAATGTTCAATTTATTGAACAGCATGAAGTACATTTCAAAAGTTACTATTAATATTTTCTATAATTTTTTAAATGTAGTCTGTAATGAAACAAAAATAGATAGATAAATATATATCCTTTTAGACTGTAATGTTGTGTAGAGAATAAAAAAAAACGATTTTTCGTTAGATTATTGCATTATTTTTTCTTGTAAAATCAAATTATGACCTGTATTCATTGCAATGCTTAAATGAAAATTGACTATTGAACATAAAACATGTTTTATTCAATAAATGTACAAATATATGTCTGTTATTTTCAAATATATAATAGAATAAAAGTTTATGCATAGACTATTATGAAACATCTCAGTAGTCATTTGAGAATCTATCTACCATTTTGTTCGTATAAATTTACGTGAAATTGCTAAGTATTGTAGGTCTCATCATGGATCATAATTGAAAGCAATTTCGATTTAAACAGAAATGGTGCACGATTTTGATTTCGGCAACATATTTCAAACATTACTTTACTTTTACTTACGCCTGTTACTCCTAATGGAGCATAGGCTGCTGACCAGCATTCTCCAACCCACTCTGTCCTGGGCCTTCTTTTCTAGTTCCATCCAATTCTTGTTTATTTTTCTCATGTCTATCTCCATTTTCCGGCGTAATGTGTTCTTTGGTCTTCTCCTCCTTCAACCTTGAGGATTCCATGTGAGGGCTTGTCTTGTGACGCAGTTCGGTGCTTTCTTCAATATATGTCCTATCCACTTCCAGCGCTTCTTCCTAATTTCTTCCTCCGCTGGGATCTGGTTTGTTATCTCCCACAGCAGGTTGTTGCTAATTGTGTCTGGCCAACGATCCGAAGTATTTTGGGTAGACAACTGTTAATAAACACCTGTATCTTTTGGATGATGGATTTCGTAGTTTTCCTGGTTTCGGCCTCATACAGTAGAACTGTCTTGACATTTGTATTGAAAATTCTGACTTTGGTGTTGATTGCCAATTGTTTTGAGTTCCAGATATTCCTCAGTTGTAAATATGCTGCTCTTGCTTTGCCAATCCGTGCCTTCACATCTGCATTGGATCCACCGTGTTCATCGATGATACTGCCCAAATATGTAAAGGTTTTTACATCTTCCAAAGCTTCTCCGTCAATTGTGATTGGATTGTTATATGCTGTGTTGTATCGAAGAATCTTGCTTTTCCCTTTTTGTATATTGAGACCTATTTCTGCTGAGACTGCAGCTACACTGGTTGTCTTCTCCTGCATTAGTTGTTGTTTATGCGATAGAAGAGCCAGATCATCTGCGAAGTCTAGATCGTCCAACTGCATCCTAGATGTCCACTATATCCCGTGCTTCCCTTCAGATGACGTTTTCATGATCCAGTCGATCACCAGGAGAAAGAGAAAGGGTGAGAGTAAGCAACCTTGCCTGACACTGGTCTTTACTTTGAAAGACTTTGTCAACTGTCCTCCATGAAAGATTTTGCAGTTTAATCCATCATAGGAATTCCATATGATATTGACTATCTTCTCGGGCACGCCGTAGTGCCGAAGAAGCTTCCATAATGTTGTTCTGTCTACACTATCAAATGCTTTTTCATAGTCAATGAAGTTGATGTAGAGCGATGAATTCCATTCAATCGATTGTTCCACAATGATCCGTAGAGTTGCGATTTGGTCTGTACATGATCTATCCTTACGGAATCAAGCCTGTTGGTCTAGAAGTTGGGTGTCTACGAAGTCCTTCATTCTGTTTAACAATGCCCTGTTGAAGACTTTTCCTGGTATTGAAAGAAGAGTGATTCCCCTGTAGTTATGACAGTTGCTGAGATTGCCTTTCTTTGGTATTTTGACTAGAAGTTCTTCTTTCCAGTCTTTTGGTACGTGTTCCTCATCCCAAATCTTATTGAAGAGAATGTGGAGTATCCTTGCAGTTGCCACTACGTCTGCTTCTAGTGCCTCTGCTGGAATGTTTTCTGGTCCTACTGATTGCTACACTTGATTTTTCTGATGGCCATGCTGATTTCTTCAATCGTTTGTGGGCCAACATCGATTGGGAGGTCCGTGAGTGCTGCTTCGATGTTGGGTGGGTTCAGTGGGGCTGGTCGATTCAAGAGTTCTTTGAAGTGTTCCACCCACCTGTTTCGTTGTTCCTCAATGTTGGTGATTACATTGCCTTCCTTGCTTTTCACTGGTCGTTCTGGTTTACGGTGATTTCCAGAGAGTTTCTTTGTTGTGTCATACAGTTGTCTCATGTTTTCTTCTCTGGCAGCCTTTTCCGCCAACATTTCTAAATCTTCCACATATTTACGTTCGTCAGTTCTGATGCTCCTCTTCACTTGCTTGTTTACTTCTGTGTATTCAGTCTGTGCCTTGGCTTTTTCTGCTCTTGTTCGGCTGGTATTGATTGCTGCCTTTTTGTTCCTCCTTCTTTGAAACATATCCAGTATATCAACAGTGATCCATTCCTTGTGATGGTGCTTCTTTTGGCCCAGAACCTCATGACATGTTGAAGTGATTGCTTCTTTTATCTCTTTCCAGTTGCTCTCCATAGTAGTTCCTTCTCCATGAAAGGCCTGGAACTTATTGCTGAGAGCTATCTTGAATTAGTTGAGTTTGTCAGTATCCCAAAGCAGAACCGTATTAAACTTTTGCGATATTGTCCTCCCCGTTGTCCAGTGCCTCTTGAGTTTCAATTTGATCTTGGCGACCAGCAAGTGATGATATGATGCTATATCAGCTCCTCTCTTGGTTCTCACGTCCTTCATCGTCCTCCTGAACTTTTTGTTGATGCAGATATGGTCGATTTGGTTTTGCGTAGTGTGATCCGGTAAAGTCCATGTGGTTTTGTGTATGCGTTTATGTGAGAATATTGTGACTTTTATGACCAGTTTATTGAAGGCACATAGGTTTACAAATCTCTCACCATTTTCGTTCCTTTCTCCGAGTCCGTGTCGTCCCATGATCTCTTCATATCCGGTGTTGTCCATTCCAACTTTGGCATTTAAATATCCCATCAGAATGGTCAGATCCTTTGTTTGGCACTTCTCGACAATTGACTGCAGCCTATCGTAGAATTGATCTTTAGCATCTTCTTTGTAGTCGTTGGTAGGCGCGTAGCATTGGATAACGTTCATTGTAATGCCCTCTTTCTTTATTTTGAAACAGGCTTTGATGATCCTTGGTCCATGAGATTCCCATCCTATAAGTGCATTTTGTGCTTGTTTGGATAGCATCAATGCTACTCCTTGTGTATGTGGGGCATTTTCTTGTTCATGTCCGGAGTATAACAGCAGCTCCCCCGAAGCTAGTCATTGTTGTCCAACTTGCGTCCAATGTGTTTCACTGATTCCAAGCACCTCTACGTTGTATCCCCTCATTTCTGCAGCAATTTGGAAGACTCTCCCACATTGTACGAGCATTCCATGTACCTAAATAAATGGTTGCTCTGGTTGTCAGAAGGGGCATCGGCCTCGTGACTTCCGAAGGAACTCAGCTTTCATCATGAGGAGTCATAATTCTTCTAAACAAAGACGTTCTAACTCACAAGGAAAACTTTAAACGGTTTGAATTATGTTTTCTGTTTAGCGTATTTTTAGCGAGTTAGTTTTCTACGGGATAGGGTTGCTAACTCCATGCCCAACCATCCTCCTTTATCGGAGCTTGGAACCGGCAGTAACCCCAGAGGGGCTCCAAGTGATGAGTTGATATGTGAATTACATTATTTTTATTTATTTAACATTATGACTCTAGAAAAAAATCGATAAATATCTAGGAAAGCGTAGTTAGTACTGAATCCAGTTATAAGACTGACAGTCCATAAATCACGTCTAGTGGGTATTTTGGAACTTCACCAAAAGTATTCCTCAAAGTAGTAATATGTTAGACTCTTTACGTGTACAAGTTAATCTGTTATTTACTCACTGATAAACTATTTTAACGAATCACTGTAATGATAGGACTGATTACTTATGAGTCATTTTAATTCTAACAAAACACTTAAGTTAATTCGATAACCTCGTGACTAACAATTGAGCAAACTTAAACCAACCTGGAATGTCAGTTTTTGAAGATCACTTTCCATGAAGCCTTAGACCTAAGCTTAATACTGGTTAATATTTTCCCGTAAAATTATAGACAAAGACTGGAAATTACATTGCCGATGACAGTTATGATCAATAAAAGAACAGTACATTTCAAAAATAAAGTAGTTAACATAAAGATTGAGAGTTGAAAATCTAAAAACTTCGGTAAATAATAAACAGAACAATCATTCTAAGTGTTAATCACACAACAAAACACATAACTACGAAAAGAAAGTAGTTTTGAAATTAGCTGATACTGTTTTGTATTTGTTTAAAAGTGGAGGTACGAAGTCCTTTCAAAGGATTATTAGCACATTCCTGATTTTCAGTAATTACATAGTGTGAAACCGCAACCATTAAGTCCAATATCCAAAAAATACTGGATAAGAAAAATCAATTATTGATTTTAACAAAATATTCAATGCTTTTCGATTCAGACATATAAGATATACAACTCTCTGGTTTAGTTCAGTCAACCAAATTACAGTGTGGTTATCAATTATAGGGAATAGAAACTTTAAACAACTTTGATCTATGCCTTGTGACTACAGTCAATTGAAAGAAGTCATTTGACGTAGGTTTCGGAACCATTCAAAACTCTTACAATTATAAAAGATTTAGTAGCTTGTATAAGCTGGTTGTTGGTAAAACCTAGTAAATTGGATGCTTACCCCTTAATGGAATATTTTTTCTTAATAACTTTGTGTGAGGGCAGCTCCTGGTAAACTAAAGAAGGCTTTAAGAAGCTCTGAAAGACCCGGAGACATTCCATACATGTTCAGGGTTGTGCTGTTAACGTATTTTTAGCGAGTTAGTTTCCTACGGGATGGGGTCACTAACCCCATGCCCAACTCCCCTCCTTTACCCGGGCTTGGGATCGGCAGTAGTCTCCGTAGGGACTCCAGGCGGAGGTTATAATTTTTCGTTTCTTATATTCAGAACTGAGATTGCTGAATCCCTGTTACCATAATATCCTTTTTATCCCGTTATCACATTTTATCGTTATATTATAAGTTTTACAGTCAATATTTAGTTACTAGTCGAATACGGAACCGACGTTTCGTTCTTTTTAAAACTTGACAACTAGATGTCCATAAATCTCAGTGTTGATTTCTACACTGAAATTCAAACTTGTTATCTTTTAATTGAAAATCCAAAAGCGTATACCACTGAGTTGCTAAATCCATTACTAAAACCTTTGACATTTTCACTAAGAATCGAATTTCCATTTTAATAGATGTAGACTGCAGTTTAGTTTATTTTCTTTGTATCATCATCAAATATAATTGTGAAAACCACATACAAATGCAAGATGAATACATTTACTTAACCTCGAGAAATTTCCATAAACTATGATGATTGATAAGGATTGGGATTAGTGACATTTAAGTTAGTAGTTTAGTGCTGTAAACAATTCTTTACTCTAATATTTCTAATTACTTTGAAAGTTCACAAAAAACAACAATCAGTGACATTTTTTAAGATATACAATCAAAAATATATGAAGGATTTAGTGAAGATTCAAAATGAAATCAGCTGGTAGTGTGTTAGACACGATGAAAAAAGTGTTTTAATCTAGGACTTTTCAGTTGTCTACATTCATAGTTCCACGAAACACAATATCTATTTATATGTATTGTAACGATAAATCTAAATCTCGTATGAAGCGAACTTGAAACTGAACCAGAATAAACTAGTCATCTAGTCATTCACCTTTTTTCAATGGCTTTTAAAGTTATTACATGTATTGACAAGAAATTACCTTCAGAATGAACTAGTTCTGTTGGTTATACATAAATGACAGACCAAACACTTACTTTTCAAACGGAACAAGATAGTTTCATGAGAATTTTTACTTGAATATATTTATCACTTACCTGCATAAATCTTTCTCTTTAATTATAATTGTTTGTAATAACACATTGACTTATTGCTTTACTAATTGTTTCATGTAAATTTCTTTGTGTTCTTAAAAATTCTCTTGTAAGATTTATTTGTTGTTTCAACATATTATCCAGTGCAGTTAAACAAGGATTATAAGTTGTTAAAGCTAATTAAAAAATAATTGGGAAAAATTATAATCAATTCTTTAACAAGGTGTATATATAAATCTTTCAAATTAACTGTAATAGTTTTCTAAGCAGAGAAAAATAGTGTCTAACAGTGGAATCCAGGACGCATGTTTCATCCTGTTTGAGACTCGTCAGTTGGATGTTATTATATCCTAGGGTTGATATTCACTCCGAGGCTCGAACCTAGTACCATTCGCTTAAAACGCTATCGCGTACTAGTTTTCGTTGACAAATTATATTCATTATGTAAAACAATAACTTATTGTTATTGTAAATGGCTCTAGTAAGTTTAATCAACCCAATGATTGCCAGATAACGTCTCTAGTGTTGCTATTCATGGTTCCTTCAGTATACATTGAATTTTTTCTGAGTACGAAATTCGACATATATGTTTCAGATAGCCAATTGCACTAATGGCAGAGAATAGGAATTTTACAACCATCATAATTTATATCACAGAAAACTTCTTGAAATATGACACTTACTATGTAATGTTTTGTAATTTATGAGCGATGATGTTATATTTTGCATTTTAAGAGTAGTGTTAGTAGCAGAAGTAGGAATTTCTTCATATTTTATTATTGGAAGGTTGTGTAGAATATGGTAGTTTTGTGAAAAATCACCTGACCACACTGTTTGAACTTCAGCATCCTTTGTTTGTTGAGTTTCAGATAAGTTTTTTGATATTCTGAAAAAAAGCATAGAAATTCGATAAACTTAATTATACGCTGTTCCCACTACGATTTAATACTTCATGTCAATTTCGTTTATGGACTTTCAAACTGGAAAAAATCAGCCATTTAATAATTTTAGTTTTCAGTGGTTCTCCAACTGTTGTTAGTTCGTGGTGAAAATTTACTATCATACTGCACAAACTCGTTGAATATTAATTCACTGTTAACGCCTAGTGGGTTGTATAACTGAGAACGTAGAATAAAAATTAGATTAGGGTATAAGTTGGACAGAACTACAACCTCATCCAGTTGTCATCTTGTGAAGTTCATGTTTAGTTCGGAATAATTATTTGTTAAGTTACTCAGTTACACTGCTTTAATTGAATTTTTTGTATTTGAAAAGTTTTACTTTCACGTAATATCCAGATAGTTATGTCTTTTTGTAATTTGATAGCCACAGATCTTGTTATCAAAACAATGGTCAGATTATCATTTCAGGCAACTCATGTTTTTACTAGTTAATTGTAACATCATAACACTGAAATTCAAATATTTAAAATCCATTCTTGGGAATCATCATAATCGAATTCTGTCATCCTATACAGCATCTAATTCAGCAAACTCCGAATAGGCGAAATTTTTATCTATGTACTGTCAAATGTGTTAAACTTTCACTATCTCATCAACCATATAAATTATTTTTTGGATAATATATGTGATTTTGGATAGTTGTGTCGTCCAAATGCTGTTTCGTAAATTTAAGATTCTTATTTTTTTTATTGGGCACTGGTTTCGACTGAAATATATACGTAAATTATTAGGTTTGGGCAGTATTATGTAAATTGGATACAACTTTAGTAGTTTGACAAATAGTGTATTTGTACTTACTTTTTACATGAAATCGTTTCACGTAAATTCGTTTTATTCAATGGTCCATAGGAATTCGTAGATACTAATTGGTGATTTGAGAAAACGTTATATAACACATAGCATGAACACACATAAGACATAGATATTATTTCAAATTATATCAGGATCTTACTTCATTTAAAAGAATTTACTATATTAGCTACTGTCAACAATAACATAATGTTGATTTTATATCTAATTAAGTGGTTGGTGTTCTAACTACCATGATAAATCGTTAACAGTATATAAACAAACCTACGGGATAAAAAAAGAGAGAATATTGTGATTGGTAAATGAGGAATGAAGCAAATCGGTAGTGAAGTCGTAAAACGAGAGCACCATTCCTACAATTGAAGAACATACGGAACTTCAAAGAACTGTATGCCAACATCAAAGTCGGAATTTTCAGTATGAACGTCAAAACAGTTCTGTTGTGCGGACCAAGGAACATGTTACACCGAGAAGTGCAGGCACAGATCAAAGGAGTGAATAACAACTGGGAAGGAGAGCTCAGGATAGAGTAGGTGGGAAAATTCTTGTTGGTAGTCTATGCTGTACAAGGGGTAACAGGCATAAGTAGGTAATTCAACAAGAACGAATGATACAAATAAAGTTAACATTATGACAGAGTATACTATGTTGTACTGAGATATCTGCTTAACCCATTCAAAAAGGAAGAGGTTGATATTGAAAACACCTGTTGAATATATTAGGCTAAATTCATCAAAGTCTCTTTAACAGGAGTAATTATATCCAATGACGATTGGGATATTTTCACTTACTTGATGGTTTTTTATATCATTAATTTTTAATGTACTTCATGAATAGAACCTAGTTGAGATTATTCATCAACACTTGTTAACTTCTTAAAATACCTTCTAACCAAGCTAGATTTTTATCATGAAGACACGTAAAACATTAAACTAACAAATATCACACGGCAAACTACAATGTACTTAAAGCGTACAAAACACTCAGACCGTTAGTTTAAATAGGAATTTCATTGAAGTCTTATGGGTATATAAGTATCCAGGCAATGAGTTGTTTCACTCATTAGATTGAAAACTATGTAACGTCCATACTCTGAAAAATAACGTACTTGTAAAAATAGTCCATTACATGTATTTGTTGAAATTAAACAACGGAAAACATATTCATCAGAAGTTGAGGGGTTGTGGAGATTGTTAGGTTTTTGATTGAGATCATGAACCGATTGATGTAAGACCACCATTGAAAACCTGGAAGCGCAACTTCGTGGGCTGGTTGAGGTTAGACTTTAACACGACTGGAGGCCGGCTCAGTGGTCCAGTAGGTTAAGCGTTCGCGCGCTAGACTGAAGGCCCTGGGTTTGAATCCCATGAGCGGGATCGTGGATGCGCGCTGTTGAGGAGTCCCACAATAGGACGAAACGGCCGTCCAGTGCTTCCAGGTTTTCAATGGTGGTCTAACATCAGTCGGTTCATGATCTCAATCCAAAAATATTCATTAGAGTTATTCTCTAGCAAAATACACAATATATGTAATTAATCATTCATTATCAACGAACCTGAATTATAAACTTTTTGATTTATTGAACAATCAGCCGTTTTTGTTTTAAGTGATATTGCTTTCAGTGTTTTGATTAGATTGCATTTTAGATTTTCTTTAGTTGAACTAGTTAGATCTTGTTCACTTTCAAAATCATCTGAATATTCATCTATTTCACTAGTATTGTTTTGATTGTCCACTTGACAAGATATCTTTTCCAATGGAAGTTTTTCATTAGATATCTCCTCCGTCAAGCTAGATGAATGGTAGTTTTCACATTCAATAACTTCTTCAATATCTATCAGTGATTTTTCATCTAAGAAAATAAGTGAGTTTTATTGATAAGAATTTTAAGTAAAAAAACGCCTCTAAGCTATTTTATGAACACATCTTGCTTGCATTGTTGCCTTAATGAGAATGTTCCTTTTCTGTCCTTAACTTTGTGAAATTTTAAGCGGAATAGCGAAAGGAAATGACATAAAGAGGATATAGAGATTACAATTTCAAGGAAGATAATAGCAGCTATATGCAATAGCATTTGGTTAATCTGTATGTGGTTAAGTATGAGAAGAACTGAGAAGAGAATAATCATAGTTTCAAATGTCTAGATACACGATCGATGTCCTTAGCCAAAAAAAAATAGTGATCTACAGAACAGACACGAATGAGCTTGTCTAGTCGCACTGAGTATTAACAGCTGAGTTATCTATTCGATAGTATCTACAGTGTGAATCTTTTAAAAATGTACTTCGATCGCTGAACACTATCATTTAGCAAACGTTGAGAAATGAAAACAGAGAAGTAAACTAAAATGATTTGAAAATGTAAGCCAAATAGTTTTAGTCAATAAAAATAATGAAGACTTTACTGCTTTTTAATGATTACTTTTATAATCAATATTACTAGTATATATGAGTAAGTATTTCATATTCTTTTATCTGCCGAAATTCTTGCAACTTTTGAATTTTGTCATTTTTCAAATATAGGGAAAACTGTTTAGCGGAAATTGTAAACATTTAAATCATTCCATTTTGAAACAGTACATGAATAAAATAAGAAATACATGAACTGAAAGTATGAACGTTCAATTAATTATCAATCATAAGATGTTTCAAACATGATTTAGGGAAAGCAAATAAATAAATACATTTCAACTACTAAAATTAATTTTAATTTACTTAGAATAAAATTAATAATCACTGATTTCTTATATGTCAAGAACTTCATCAAATTACTTTGTCCTTCTAGTGATAGATGAGACTGATAGCTAGAATTGCGATTAACTAGTGTCACTATTTATCCATAGTACTTTTTGCGAGTGATCTTTTATCAGTATTATCATTGATAAGTAGTATTTAACATCAGTAACAAATCTAGCTGTAAATCTATAACTTCCATAAAAATTTACACTTAATTTATTTTATTATACTTTTTCATGTGTTGATTTTATTTCAGTGAACTTGTAGTTCTCCTCTATTCATTTAGGTTAAGTGCTACTCAGTTAGTCATGTTAGATGGTTGGAGGTGGAAACCTTGGACCAAGTTTTCATTCTATGTGGCGTTCATTAGTAATGTCTACTTATTTCACAAGGAAATCGGTGCTCCCTAATAGATCCAAATCTGAATTACCCAGCTTCACAGTCTGAGCCTTTACCACTGAACTGTTCTGTCCATAATTGACATCCTGTAGGACTGAAGCATATTTACAATTGATCGGTCACTAAGTAGCTATTTGTTATTTGTTTCATCATTTAGTTCTGATTGAAATCTATCTAGTAAGGTCAATGAGATTGAACTAGTATATTATAACTAACGATTTAATTGTACAAGTTTAAATAAGAAAGAAATAGTTTTCTCTGACGGGACAATGCATTGGTAATTTAACTTGATGAATGATAAAATTGGTTTCAATGCATGAACTAGCATTTTGGTCGTGTTTATTTAAAGGGGTTTCATAAGGATAGTCTAGTAATCAATCCGTAACAACTAGTTCAAAATACGACATTACTATATAGGTTGGTTTATTATTGTCTATCCACTTTACATGAAGCATTGGTCAAAAATCTTATCTACATCACATCTAAAAAACTGTGTAACAGTTACATGATAAAGATGTGCTGACAGCCTACTTCCTTTAAGGATGTAAGTTACAGGTTTACCGCTATGCTTATCAAATGATATTTGAAGATGACACCAGTGATGTCTTCTCCAAGATACCTGTCTATAAAGTATGGACAGTGTTAAGTATTCATAAATATTGATTGCAATGAAATTATTTCCAGGATATCTCATGTAAGCTTGTTGATTATATTACGTTGGTTTTGTATTTAAATATATATACCCAGTAAGACATTATTTTTAATGTTATTTAAAATGATTACTTAGATCAGTTAAGAAAAGTAATCCCGTTTTATTCTTCTCAATCTATGACTTTAATCATTGAGCTTTGATTAATTCTACCAAACTATCAAATCATGACACAATATACATCCTAGGGCATTAGGAAACTTGATTATGAATATCATCGACAAGAGCAATAGGTTTATTTTTTGACTAAATATGTGAAGAGAATTATTTAGGAGTTTATTTCTCCTGAAAATATGTAAAGGCAAAGACCACTAAAAAAACAGTTTATTGAGTATTCAACACTTGATGGACATCTCATTAAATTTTAGTGAAATGAATAAGCTAACACATCGAGTTAGGTATCGATGTCCTAATATTCCTGCGTTGCTCGAGGATGCTGAACTTCAGCCAAATAAGCAACTGAATTTCTACCTGTGACTTGCATCCTTAAATAAATATGCTGTTCATTTAAGACCAGTAATGTTTCCTTTATTGTCGATCGATTGGGTATATATAAAATATCAGAATTTAACTTACTGGAAACCTAATATCAGTATTTCTAGGTTCCAATAAAGCCTACTTTTCATATGTATTATACTTTTGATGCAAATAATGTTTTACCATCCCAACTATAAGCAGCAAATCAGAAACTCACTGTATAATTTGTCAAAATGATTTGTTGAGCAATAACTTCCGCAATCTATTCTATTCTCATTCATTAATTCATCAACAGATAATATTAATTGATCATCAAATGTACTCATTTTGCTTTCAATTCGTGAAGCTTCTATAGAAATTTAATTTCAGTAAATGAGGAATTATCTTATAAGTTAATAGATTGAATTTTTAAATCAATACATATTTCACAAATTTAAAGTAGTAATCTTAGACTTGTACCTTAGAAGGTATACTAGTTAGTAATAGACGTAATAAGCGTCATGGTATTGAATCGTTTATAATAATATCAGGTGAAGAGATATTTGTCTTAACGTTCAAATGTAAATCCTCAAAACAAGTGAAAACAATTAGACTTATTGTTTAGTTTTACTATATTCAGCCTACTTTTGATGTTCTTGTTTAATGTCATATTATTTATTCAATATTTTGAAGTGTATTTAACTTTTTATATGGTTTATTTATTAGAATAAGCAATATTCCTCTGTTGCGATGAACCACTTATCTTACCAGTTCATACTCCTATTTCAATATTTTGGATCATTCTTTTGTCTCTGTTTATTTCTCTTGTGTACTACACTAAAAACCCATTTACTTTGAACAGATCGTTAATTTACAAAACGTGGGGTCTGAATTATTTTTGTTAATTGCTATTATGTCCACTGTCTAAAAAGTTATCTGTTGCTTTTTGATTTGTAGTATTTATTATAATTTTGTTTTATTTACTCACATAAAATACCCAACTTTCTTTCCATTGCGCATCTAACTCCCTATATCCTAACCATTTTCGGTTTCCAAATACTTTCAACGTTTATTTTTGTCACTTATTAATTTAATATAGTCTATAGCACCTGATATAACGGATGAATTAAAATATCTTCTCTCTCTCTCTCTGCAGTATGCTAAGCTAATACAATAATATGATAATAAAACCGATATATATGTGACCGAGCTTATAATACAGTTAGATTGAATACTCAAAAGATCAGCTACACACAGACCATATCACGTTATATTAGATGCCTGATTCATGACCAAGAAGAAAGAACTAGAGTAACGCTAGGCGACACTTTACCCCACGCAATTACTCCTTACACAGTGCGTAAGGAGTAGAAATCAATTAGAGCAAATGAAATCATATATGTAATGGTCAGGAAGTGGGGTTCCTAATTGTCCACAATCAGTAACTAATCATACTTACTTTCGCCACTACAAATCACCACAGTACATTTAAACAGATCCAAAGAGTTATCTATTAAACTAAATAGTTCAGTTAAAATTCTCCTACGCATTCTACTGTCTTACTGTTATTTCATTAAACTAGATAATCTAAATTTGGAATATAGGTACACAAACACAATATAATGGTCATTAACTAGTGAGAGATTAATTGATTTTAAGATCAAGATTTCAAAAACATATTGTAACACTTCTGGGTTTTCATTTAACACAAAAAAGACTACTACGTAGTACAATTACTATCTGAAAAGTTGACTGATATCTTGTCTACATCACAGATTTCATAAGTTGATAAAACTTCATTTATAGTTTTTCGTCTACTCTAAGGTTTTATCAGCCACTCAACCACCAAAATTAATATTACATAAAGACAAGCCAAGTGTTCAGTACTCGAAACTATTCAGTACCCTGTGACTAACTCCAACGATCACCCACATTAATTTCGAGTTAGCACTTCGTATTTATTTAAATGTTTGATAAGAATTTTCGGATTCCCATACAGGGCATTTAAAAGCTTTCACACTTTTCAGCATCTGAAAGGATGTAAACAAACGTGGTAATTTCTTCCTAGTTATTATTTAATCAATATGAGCGGGGAACATTTTGGCTTAATAAGGATTACCTTTACGCTGAGTTACAAATATGTCTTATTCCTTTTCCATATATATATATATATATATATATATATATATATATATATATATATATATATATATATATATAAACTTACCTTTACTTGCATCAGTCAGTGGATTTTTATCATTGAAGGACAAAGCTGAAATTCTACTTAAATCATCTTCATTTTTTTGTACTACTAATAGTTCATTCACAACATTATTATTGATACAATATTTTTCAACTTCCTTTGATTTTGTCCCATTTGAATACGTCAAATTTTAAATTAAATAAAAAAGAATTAATTAGTTTGTTATAACTAATAAAAAGGTAGATAGTTTAGAAAAATAACTGGTATAAAATACATATAAATCAAGATGTTTCCTTTATAAGCGAAGATGGATAGTGGCTGGCAGTGCAATCCAGGATGCGCGTTTCGTCCCATTTGGGACTCGTCAGCTGGATGTACCTGCATCTCAGAGTTGATGTTCACTCCGGGACTCGAACCCAGCCCGACCGTAGCTGCTACCTTGACGTGGTGGTCGGGCTTGCCTATCGTGATGACCCAACCGGGCTATATTGGTTGGAACACATGTTCCTGCAGGTTCTACCATGCCAGGCAGGTCGATTGGAGAAAGCTTAGACTAAAAGCGGCAACTCAAGGTTTGAGGGCGAAGTCGTACTGATGACTGTACAGAGGTGTGACAGCAGTAAGGTGTTTCCCTCGGACAACCAGCGTCTGCAGCGATGCTGCCTTCTCACAAGGAAGGAAGGGGTTAGAAAAGGTTGACCCTAAAAATGTCACACGTCACCTTACCCCACGGATTTCCGTCTCCGGCGGTAAGGCCCTTTGAAGAACGGAGCTAACACATTAAAAACCTCCCACAAAAAGGCCGTGCGCGACCGGCCTCAAGCAGTTGTCCCTTGGGCTCTGCGGTCACGCACCCAGGTCGCTAAGACCAACGCTAATCTGATTTCCTTTTCAGGTTCCTCAAGTAATACCCTTCCACGGTGTGGGCAACCGGGAGGCGACATCAGCCCTCATACCCGGAACAACACACGAGACCAAGTTGGTCACATTCAAATCCTTCCTACACCTCCTAATAACTCTCTTATCTCCACGACTAACCCTTCTTACGTCCCTTTATCACCTCGCCCCGCTAGTGCAAACGATTCGAGTACGCGGAATGTTATTCCTGGTCTCCTGAAACCACGCTCCAGACTACACGTAGGAGCTTTCAACCTCCGAACACTGTGCCAAATAGGACAACAGGCTTCCTTAGCTAAGACCTTAGAATCTCGCTCCATCTATGTGTGCTGCGTCTCCGAAACGCGCACATAGGATCCGAGTAGTGTCATTCATTTGACCTCACCATGTCAAAGTAACGAACCAACTGGATTTACACTTCGTGTATCTGGAAGCCCTGATGTTGCTTCCCGTGGCCTCGCTGGCGTAGGTATAGCATTGAGTCCTAGGGCAGAACTAGCTCTCTCAGACTGGATCCCAGTAGACAGTCGTTTGTGTGCTGTCCGACTAAACGGAACAGTAAGGACTCGAAAAGATAAAGACACTCGTCGTTGCCTCTTCGTCATCTCTGCCTACTCTCCCACTGACTGCAGCTCAGATGATGTAAAAGATGAGTTTTACAGAAAGCTTTCCGACCTTCTCCGAAAATCTAGGTGTTCAGATGTAGTAATAGTGGCTGGTGACTTTAATGCTCAAGTAGGTAAACTAAGCGAAAGGGAAAGACATCTGGGTGGATCTTATGGTGTCGCGGTTCAAAAAACAGATAACGGTGACCATCTGCTGCAGCTATGCTCAGATAACCGCCTGTTTCTTGCAAACACTAACTTTAAGCATAAGGAAAAACAGCTTTTGACATGGCAACCCACTAATTCGTCCCAACGTTGGACCCCAATAGATCACATCGCTATCAGCCACCGATGAAGGGGTTCGATAGAAGACTGTCGCTCATTCTGGAGCACATGCTTAGATTCAGATCATGCTCTAGTGCGAGCGCGTATTTGTCTACGTCTTACTGGACGTAGGAAAAATGGTGTAAGGAAACCCCTTTGGGTTCTACTTAATGATAATCAAGCTAAGAGTATATTTCAGGAACAACTAGAAAAACAGTTAGACAGACATGTAAGTGATGCACACCCCGAAGCAGCGTGGAATGACATCCGAAGAGCTGTGGAAACAGCAGTGAGGTCTGCAAGTACGGTAAACCATAACATTAGGGAGAAACACTGGATCTCAGCAGCGTCTACCGCACTGATGGATGCTCGAAAACTCATTCCATCTAGCTCTGAACATGACGAAGAGCAGAGTCAGCTTAAGCGCAAGCTGACTGGAAGCCTACGCCATGATCGTGAACAGTGGTGGGTAGCGAATGCAAGAGAGATGGAAAAGGCAGCGGCAATAGGTAACAGCAGGCAACTGTTCAGACTTGTTAAGGAAACCGGTATTAGGAACCCAACTGTTAGCGAAATAATCTCAGAAAAAGATGGACATATTATTCATTCTCAATCCAGGAGATTGGATCGATGGGCAGAACACTTTAGGGATCAGTTCAACTGGCCTTCAGCCACACTTCGGTTTCTCACGATCTCCAATCTACCTGAATGGCAAGTTGATGTAAGTCCTCCGACTCTTTACGAAGTTGAAAAATCCGAAGCGTCGGAGGGCAGCAGGCCCTGACAAGTTTAACCCTGAGATTTTTAAGGATGGTGGTCCAGTATTAGCAGCGAGATTGACTGAGGTCTTAGGTAGAGTCTGGGAACTGGACGTAATCCCATCTGACTGGTCTCAATCACTGATTGTGCTAGTCTATAAGAAAGGCCGAAGTCCTGCTGTGACAATCACAGAGGAATTAGTTTGACTAATATAGTGTATAAAATATTGGCTTCAATAATACCTCGACGTCCAACCAAAGCTAGTGAAGAGCAGACCAGAGAAAACCAGGCTGGTTTTCAACCTGGACGTGGTTGTATAGATCAGATATTTACACTACGTCAGGTCCTACAACATAGACACACATTCAGACGCCCCAAAATCGTCGTATTTCTCGACCTTAAGGTGAAATTTGACTCGGTTAGTCGCAAAGTTCTGTGTCAGTGTTTGTCACTGAAAGGAGTACCAAAGAAGTACATGAAATTTATACAGGCTCTCTACTCGAACACAACTGGTCGAGTGAGAGCTTACGGCGTAGCGTCATCAGAATAGATTACGTCAAGTGGTGTTCGTCAGGGCTGTCCACTCTCTCCATTCTTGTTTAACATTGTTGTTGACACGCTTCTAGAGATAACATTTTCCACATCTGACTTTCCAGGGGTTAAAATTCTACCGGGAGATCCACTTGTTGACTTGGAATATTCCGATGACATAGTTCTATTTGATGAAGACGCTGACAAGATGCAGAGTCTGCTGACCACTCTAAGCAACAATGCAGGCATGTTCGGCATGCGATTCTCTCCCTCGAAATGCAAAATGTTGCTTCAGGATTGGGTTGCGTCGACACCCGAAGTAATGATAGGGAGTGAAGTAGTTGAGCGTGTCGACTGCTTCACTTATCTTAGAAGTCTCATCAGCCATTGTGGTTTGGTGTGTGACGAAATCTCAGCACGGATACAGAAGGCTCGACTAGCTTTTGCCAACTTGCGTCATTTATGGCGTAGGTGAGATATCCGTCTATCAACCAAAGGACGTGTTTACTGCTCAGCAGTTCGTTCCGTCCTACTTTATGGCAGTGAAACATGGCCGGTAAGAGTAGAGGATATTCGTAGGTTACTAGTATTCGATCATAGGTGTCTTCGAAACATCGCTCGTATATCCTGGGACCACCGAGTAAGTAATGCAGTTGTTAGGAAACGGGTACTAGGTAAGGATGGCAAATCAATTGGTGAAGTAGTGAAACTTCATCAGTTGAGATGGCTGGGACATGTGTTGCGCATGCCCGACCACCGACTGCCCCGACGTGCGGTGTTTTATGATGTAGGAGTAGGTTGGAAGGAAGTTAGGGGCGGTCAGAACAAAACGTGGCACGAATCCATGAAGTCACTGACAAGTGGATTGAGCCATGTTGGTAGGTGTAGACTACCTGGTTGGGGACCGCGAGATGATTGCGACCGATGGTTAGAGACCTTGAATGACATGGCTCAAAATCGTTTGCAATGGCGCAGGTGCATCCACTCTTTGTGTTCTCTCAAACTCTAATCTTCTGAATTCTTCATGTCCTTTATTTTCTTTCCAAATCTATTTCACTTGACTATACTTCTTAAATAACATCATCAAACCCTAATGTTCTCTATCACTACTTATACTTTCAGTACCTCTACCACTATGGGATTTGAATCGATAACTGAATCTCTGTGCTAATGTGGCATGGCAACTCGAACGGATGTACGTACGTACGAAGTTCCACGTTGTTACTGACTGACTGACTGACTGACTGACTGACTGACTGACTGACTGACTGACTGACTGACTGACTGACTGACTGACAGACTGACTGGCTGACTGACTCGAACCCAGTACCATCCGCTTCAAACGCCATCGCCTTATCCATTTAGCTACTGAGTTCACTGCTAGCCACTATCCATCTTTGCTTATAATGCTTGTAAATTAAGGCAATATCGAGGCATACGCACAGTATGCACATATGCCAATAAGAGACTGAACAATTTCAGTCCTAAACATCAATGGGAAGATTCAAATAAAACAATATCAAGTGAACAAGACGTTTCCTGTTATAAAATTAAATTACACAATAAAATCTCTACAAATTCCTTCAAGATAATCAATAAATACATTGAATTTACCATGTTTTGCTGAAGTAATTTATGCCAGAAGGGGTTTTGTGGAGATTGTAGTAATTTCAATAGTTGAGATCATGAATCAATTGAAGCTAGACCATCATGGAAAACCTGGAAGCACTGGACGGCCGTTTCGTCCTATTGTCGGACTCAGCAGTGCGCATCCACGACCCCATCTTACGGGATTGGAACCCAACAAGATCCAGTTACCAATCTTCTTCTGTTGTTGTGAAATCTTTCACAAATGTTTATTATAAAACTTTTCACAACACTTATCTAAGCTGTACTCAGTTAATTTTACTTTATATTTTAAGGATTTCACAATGACAATATTAATACCTCGTTCTTAATGTTCATTCGAGAATAGCGGTATATCCAACTTATAAGTATTCATATTATTCAATAGATATGAACATCTCTTATAATTCATTCATACTTATTTCCCTTTACATTAATCTTTACTGATGAAAGTATTTCTAATGCTATGTTATGAAGTATGTAAGCTGGTTTTTAATGATCAGTACTATTATGTTTAATCTTCAATACGAACATTAAGACAGTTCTACTGTATGGAGCTGAAACATAGAAAACTACCACAACTATTATTAAAAAGGTACAAGTATTTATAAACGATTGTCTACGCAAGATACTTAATGTCCGTTGACCGGATACTATCAGCAATAGCCTACTATGGAAGAGAACAAACGAGGTTCCAGCTGAAGAGGAAATTAAGGAAAGATGCTGGAGGTGGATATGACACACATTGATAAAATCATCAAATTGCATCACGAGGCAAACGCTTATTTGGAATCTTGAAAAGAAACAGAAAATAAGAAGGCTAAAAAAGACTTCGTTGAGAATTGGAAGCAGACATAAAAAGGAAACAACTGGAAAATATTACCCAGGATAGAGTTGAATGGAGAATGTTGGTGAGCGGTTTATGCTCCTCCATGATGGATAACAGGCATAAATAATCAAGTACTAATATGTTTAGGTTGTAAGCAACTGATGAAAGACTCCGAGATACAATGAATTCATGTTATTCTCCTATGTTAACTATTCTTGATCAGGTGAAATGTGTTTTCAGCAAACACAAATACGAACTTACCTTGTTATTGAATACCTTTTGTGTTGAATATTTATTAAAATTTAGTGACGTTTTTCCTGCACTAAACGGTGTCAGTAAGTCTTCAGTATTTTCATCTTCAGTTGTAGCTGGAGATTGTTTTCGAACTAATATAACACAAATACCAAAGTATTAAAAACTGAATTAACGTTCATCATGGTAAAACGATTATCAGAAATGAAATTACTAAGTTGTCATCTATGGAACTTAATATAAATCATAATGGAAAGTACAAAATCAGAAATAACCAGAACATCATTAATGGAATCCTGTATGAAAGAGAAACTGTCGTTATAAAGTTTACAAATCACTGACACTATAAAGTGGTTATTAGATGTTTCCCATCAAATGATGACTATCCAGAGGACATTGTTTAGGCAGGACGAACCTCAGTATCTCTAGTTTAAAGTGTAAGCCACTAAAATAACCTTCAAGCCTATAAACAAAGTCTTTCATCTAATCATGATAACTTTACGTCTACTTAAACGTTAAGTGAATTTGTAGGTGTCATTACCAAGGTTTGACTTGATAATTTCGAATAAACTGAGCATTGGGTAGATTATTATAAATAAATAAATAATATATTTGTAATATCCCAATGAATAAAAAAATTAGATTTTCTGACGTTTCGTGACGTAGTGCAAGCCACTTCTTCAGAGAACAGATACATAACCAAATCAAAATTTAAACTCGGATTGATTTTGACTTAGTTATTTATTTATTCTCTGAAGAAGTGACTCACACTGAGTCGCGACACGTCAGACAATCTCATCTTTCTACTTATTGGGATATTATAAATATATTATTTATTTATTTATTTAATTATTTATTTATTATATCAATTTGATTATTCACATACTAGCACCACCATAGTTTGTATTTTTTAATGCTGTTCCATGTTTCAGTATAAGAAATTGATGATGAATGATTTCAGGACAACGTTTTATGGTCAAACTTTTGTTGTATAGTTCGAAAATTGTTTGCATCTTAAACTCAGATCTAATAACTGTAAGATGTATCGTTCGAAGTGAAAATATGGCAACTAGAAAAAACTAAATTTCAAACCTTACTTAAGTCTCATCATAAAACCTAAATATTTAAACCACTAAGTGTTAGCCGGTTAATGATTGAGAAATGAAACATATAAATATAAAAATCACACAATATAAAATAATACAAGATATAAGTACTTAGAATGAAAGCTAAAAATAAAAAGCAGTTAATGGTTTTTGGCACTGAATAACAGTCGTGCTATATCACAATAAGAAATGGATTGGGAAATAACAACCAAGAGATTTAAAATCGTTTATTTAGTGGTATCAAACTTCTTATGGGCATAAAATCCCGAAATTTGATTTCGCATCCAAATATGGTTTTAAACTGTTGAGCAAATTCAAATCATTAAAAGCAGCTGTAAGGTGATCCTCGGTTTTTACAGTTCATTAGCTGTCACCAAGCAATATGGCAAATTTGGAAAAGTGATATAAACTGTATACATAATACTACAAAGTATTGTTGCACTCCAAATGCTACGTCTCTTAATATTAACAAAAGAATTATAAACGACGTTCAATATATGACTGCTACCAGTTTTGTTACTTCTTGACACGCTAATCGACATCGTGTGCTATATTCCTCTACCAGAATTTTGACTGTCATTTCATTTCCGCATACTTGCTGTTTTTCTCTGTAACCCAGCGTTCTAGACGCAACCAATCATACTCCTCAACTGGTACAACTAACCTTGAACAGCGATAATCTACACTTCTATTGATCTACAGGTTTCGTTTGTTCATTATCCCTGAGTCCGAAAAAATGTCTGGAGCCAAGCTTCTATTATTATCATGTATCCCGATTGTAGCTTCTAACTCAAAGTAAAGGTCGAGCTTACCTATTGTGATGACTTAACCGAGTTATTTTGGCCGGAACATATGTTTCGTTAGATTTTAAAATGCCTGACAGGTAGGTCGGAGAACGGTAAGACCAAAAGCAGCAACTTAATGTCCTAGGATGAAGTTGTACTGCTGACTGTAGAGGGGTGTGACAGCATTGAGGTGTTTCCATCGAACAACCAGCACCTGCAGCTATGCTACTATTTCAAAACGGATGGAATGGGTTAGAAAGTTTGACCCTGAAAATGTCTCATCTTACCACACGAACTTACGTCTCCGGCAGTAAAGCCTTTCAAAGTGCAGAGTTAGCACATCATAATCTTCCCATAAAAAGGCCATGCGTGACCGGCCTTAAGCAGTTGTCCCTTGAGCTTTAGAGTCACGGCACCAGATCGCTAAAACCACTAATTCAGCTTCTTTTTCAGTCCCCTTAAGAAAAAAAAATCAATGGTGTGGGTACCAGGGAAGTGTCAACAGCCTTTAAACTTCTATCAGCACCTAAGATCACCTTGCTGACTATCAAACCCCTCCCTCACCTCTTACTAATTCTTCCACTCCCTCAACTAACCCTCCTTGTATATTTTTATCTGCACGAGCCACTAAAGCTAGTGATATGAGTTTTCAAAATGTTATTCCTGGTCTCCTCAAACGACATTACAAACTTCATGTTGGAGCTTTTCATGTTCAAACTTTGTGTCAGGTAGGAAAACAGGCTTCTTTAGCTAAGACTATCAAATCTGGCGCCATTGGTATATGCTGCGTCTCCAAAACGCGCATACGCCTTATCGACATATAAAACCGGCAAGGTTTTACTCTTCGAGTATCTGGAGAACGCACTGCCACTTTCCATAGTCCCGCTAGTGTAGGTATAGCATTAAGTTCAAAAGAATAACAAGCCCTATTAAATTGGACTCCAGTAGACTTTTGCTTGTGAGTTGTTGGACCAAACACGATAATAAGAACCCGAAAAGACAGGGACACACTTGTTACCTTTTCGTTGTCTTTGCCTACGCTCCAAATAATTGCAGCGTAGATAACTTTCAGTAGTGTTACTCCTCACTCATTTTGTAGAAAGCTTCTTCGTCCAAAATGTGCAACCACCCTGGCTCAATTACTAAGGGGAAGCAATCACTTCTTATTCAATAAGATCTAATTGTTATCTAAGCTCGAAACTCCTTATACCATAAAATTATCAAGTCTCTAAAATGAAACATTTGACGCAACTATAGGAAACTTTGGAAAACCACAGGATTCATTTACCTACCAACATTTTTATGGACTCGTTTCTCTGGATTTCTTAAAAACCGTCTCCCACCTTCATAACTTTCACTTGATATTTCATCAATCATGTATCCAGATATTCGCTCACTCAATCGATTTGTTGTCTGTTTCTTGTTTTTCATTGGCGACAAACTTTGTTGTAAATCAGAGCAAACAAACGTTGTTTTATTAGTAAAAGTGGGTAATAATATTCTAGTATTTATTATTTTTACCACAAACTGACTCGGGTTGAAAATGTTTACTACCGAATCGGGACCTGATAATTTAGTGTTTTCGCAAAACATGAAATTGCTGGCCTGCACCTTATGTGAAGTGATGCGCCTACATCAATAAAGTCACTAAAATGCCCCCTAGCGCTCTCAAAATCTCAGTGATTCTGTAGCTGATATTAACGTGATAAAGTTTAACTAAAAATTACATGACTGTTCACGAAATAATAATACTATTCGATCTTAGCTGTTCATATTAATATTGAATCACTCACGCCATAAAAAATCCATCCCTGATCTAGGTGATCCGGTAAAACTCCGATGAAAAATTTTTAAGCAGCTAGTGGGACCGATTCAACATGATTGAAGGTAATTCATGATGTCTGAATCACTATTATTTAAATACTATCAAGTTAAGTAATTGAAAAACACTATGTGTGCTGAAACATATCATTTTATGATTGCTTACTTATTGCCAGTAGTACTCCCTAGTCTCATTTTTTTGCAATAAATAGAATATATACTTAAACGAACTTGTTTCAAATGTCTCATCACTCAGGTAAATACCTAAAGAACAAAAATAGATTTGACGGTTAATTTACGATCAAAAACATCAGAGAGAAACATTTAAAACCAAGGAGTAGCTGTTTTTCTACAACATGCTATCTCAAAAGTGGTCACCAGTAAAGCCAGATATGACAAATCCTTTACTTTTAGGATTTTGTAGGAGACATTATGATTTTGACTCAATAAGTCTGGGTAAATTGATCTGAAACGGCTAATTTAGTTAAAATTAGGTACTTAGTATAATGAGCAAAAAACTGAAAAAAGATTTAGAATTCGTTTATAGTTTTACTAAAAGTATGAACCTATTACTTACCGTTCTGGTCGTGAGTGATTTGAAACATAAGGGAAAATCATCACTCTTAAATCTTCCATAACTCTGAATTACTTCCTCAACCTCTCAAAAATATACAAGAAGGTATTTATCTTTAACCATAATAGACCAAATTAGCCTAATATTCGAAGCATTTATTGAATCTCACTCAGTTTTATTGAAATGTTTTGTGTACACAACGTTACGCTAGTATTCTTCACCAATGATGTACCACATCTGGTAAACAACATAAAGTTATAGGGCACCTGACATTTATATCATTCTGGGAAATTTACAATTCTTCACAAGACGAAATCTTCCGCAATTGTGCTCCGAAAATCCATATGCTGTGAAACTTCTGTGTCAGTATCTGACTCCAGTTTAATATTCATGTATAGCACAATCAACTTCGTAATTAATCAATGTAATCAGTAATCGCTAGGCCGAGACACGGTACCAGATAATTGGAAGTTGGCTCGCATTACACCAATTTTCAAAGGAGGTCAATGCAACATGCCTTAAAGCTACAGGCCGGTAGCACATCTCTTGCTACCTACAAAAATTATGTAGTCCCTGATATTCAATGGTCCATGTGACTAATTCCTATCCGTAGACGTTTTTCCACCCCAACAGAAAGGATCACCCTTGCGTGACCAACCTGCTGACCGCCGTGTACAACCAAAAAAATAAACTGGCACTTCAGGAGGATCTGACTCGACTTCAAAGTAGGGTAGACAATAATTGACTTACCTTTGGCACTTCAAAGTGTAAAGTAGTTCATTTGAGACATGTTGCAGACTACGAATACAACTTAGGTAACTCCCTTCTAGAGGATTCCCAAATTAAAAAAGAACTGGAGGTGTTGGCATCCTATGGTCTGAAGTCTTACGTTAATTGTGACAAAAATACCTTTCGATCAAACCTTGTACTGGTAACGTTGTAGCGTATTTTAAGCCAGTTCGGTGGAAGAACTTTCCAACTAATCTCCAACAGTTTCAGTCGACCTTACTCGGAGTCTGGAAGTACAGTATTTCTTCCTCCAACCCAAAAGGATAACAATAAATCGGAACTTATCTAAAGGAAAGCCACGAAATCAGTCCGAGGACTCAAGTTCAAACCTTTTGAAGGGCGTCTCAAATCACTAAAACTTTACCCATTAGAGTATGGGCGTCTCAGAGGTGACCTAATAACACAGCATCCTGAACATTTCTGGTCATCCCCTTAAATACCTACTTAGGCTCAGCCCTAAAAAATCCTTAGGGATAACACCCAGAAATTAGAGACACAACATAGTAGAGCAGACTGTAGGCACACCTTTTATTCTTTACGAGTAGTCAAATTCTGGAATTCGCTGCCAGCTGAAGTGGTTCAAACAACTTTCCAGTAGCCTTTTAAGAGAAAAATCGACATATTCTTGAGGACTAAGGACAGTACCTTACTATGACATAATAATACGTTCCTATAGAAACGATATCTATAGTTATCGTCAAATATACTCAAGTTCCTACCTGGAGACATCCGTGATCCACTGCTGCTATATACGGAAATCTGTTAAGCGACAGCTTCTAGTTCGTCCATATCGAGTAAAAATGTGGAGTTTACGCAAGAGATACTAGTACTAATTTTAATTCAGTGAAAGGGCTACTAAGTGTCCTTGGACTGTTGTCTTCAAAGCAATGATCTACACTCTCCCAAAACACTAGATGTGAAATATAAATAAAAAGACTACGCGGTGAAATTTCTGAAATAAAATATAAGGGATCATGTATAAATTTCAATACTTAAGTATTGAAGTTACATAATTATGTAACTTCTGTTCAGCCAGTTCAAGAATTATGTTTGGATGTGAAGATGACATTTTTATTACTTTAGTACATACCTTAGATCAAGAATTAATATGTCCCCCTGGTAATTTCAAATAAGAATAAGGGTTCCTTAAATTAATGATTGCGATCGGTCATAAATTTGCCATCAGAGACTCATCTGTTGTATGGTATTTACAACAATATAACAATTAGTAGCATAGTAGTCACTTTAAACATCAGAATATCACTAACCATTAAAGCAATAAATTCATTAAATTGAGAACAACAAAGATGTCACAGCGGCAATCACTAAGAGAAATGTTCTTAAAATTGAAAAATGTTATTGGACAACGAACACCGTTAATGGGTTCATCGTCAAGTTCACGCAATTTCCGTCTCACTTCAAAACAACCCGGAACATGAAGTAGACTCTTCCAATGTTGGCGTTCAGGTGATCATCAGAACCGATGTCACTGTGGTTCACTTCACTGAGGATATGCCTCAAACTATCTGAAACCACTTTTTCCTGTACTCCATAAATCACTGCCTTGATTTCCATGAATATTTATTTCACGAAAGCATTTTCCCCCCAAGGACATGGAAACAACAAAATTTAGTGAGATTACTGCCATAACAAATACAAGTGTTCTCACAACTGTGGATAAAAATGCATCTTTCCACCATATATATACTTGGGGAGACTTCGTCACTGTCACCCCTCAGATGTAATCTATCCAGATGTAGTAACAAGCTATCACACATCACCACCGATATGACGACTGTATGGTATCTCTTCGACACTGGTACAGAATTTCGAGTTCTTCCGATAATTTTGAGCTACTGCCAAAAAGAAACACGTGCACACCTTATCCGTTACGGACGCAAAACCTCATGTTACGGTCGCTAATTTTGATTTCCGTATCCCATTAGTCACACGCCTGCGATATTATTCATTTTTAAATGTGAGTAAATTATGTATGCATATTTAGCTGAAAACTTACTTTTTCTCGTTATATCTTGCACTTTCTTTACACACTGTGCTCCTGGAGACTTTCCGTTAAAGCACACTGTTATGTAACGGTTTGCACAAATCATTACAATGTAACGTTTCTCATGATCTTGAGTTTATGAAACAATTAGTAGTGTAGGTGAACTTTGTTAATGATGGTTCCATAATGATATTGGTTCTCGACCTCATAGTCCTAGAAGCTCAACACAAGACAACTGAGATTTACATTCAAAATTTAACACTTATAAAATGTCGGAAATGGCGAACGCGGGAACACTTAATCTGTATGGCATGGATCGTTAATACAGGCTTTGTCACTCTGTGTAACTTCTTATCTTAAGTTTACATACTGTTCTAGGCCCAAATATGTTCCTCAGAAGTCAAAAATAGCACATTTATAAATGCTACGATAAGATGAGTCAGTATAGATGAGATTGCGACCCCCTAATTTTATAATCAATGCCTGTAAACGGGTATGCCTTGTGTTACAGGCTGTTGTTTGAGAAAATATTATCATCAACGTAAGATGTTGTTGATAATGTAGTCAAGCCATTGTAGATAACTCCGCCTGCAGCATTTATGGAGTGATTGCCGGTCCCAGGCCCGGGTAGAAGAAAAGGGTTGGACATGGGATCGGCAACCACATCCCGTATAAAAAAAATCATGCTGAAAAACGCCAACCAGATCAAACGAACGAAACCATTTGAACTCTGCCCTGGCGGTTGAAGGAAGAATCATGACTCCTAGCGATGGCAGTCGAGACTTCGGAAGTCACGAGGTCGATGTCCCTTCCAATAATCAGAACAGCAATTAATATAGGTACACGGAACATCCGGACAATATGAGAGACTGGAGGACCTGTCAAATAGCAACGGAAATGAGGAGATACTACTTGAAGATGTTCAGAATAAGTGAAACCCATTGGGTCACAAGCTGGACAACAAAGGCTAGATGCGGAAGAAATGCTGCTGTACTGTATTCACGAAGTGAAAAATTCTCTACATGCTCAGCAGCGGAACCTGACTATATACCAGCTGAAGCACTAAAGTTAGATATAGGAGCAACCGCAAACATTCTCCACGTTTTATTCAGGAAGATTTTGGAGGAAGAACAAGTGCTGATGGACTAGAAAGAACACCTCATCAAGATACTGAAGAAATGAGATCCGGGTAAATGTGGGGACTACAGAGGCATCACCCTACTCTTAGTACCAGGAAAGGTATTCGACAGTGTTGCCGAACCGGATATAAGACTCAGTAGACACCCAACTTCGAAATTCACAGGCCGAACTCCGTAAGGATCAGACATTTACAGACCGAATTGCGACAGTACAGATCATCGTTGATTAATCGGTTGAGTCACTATACATCAACTTCCCTGACCATGAGAAGGCGTTTGACGGTGTGGATAGGAAAACCTTATGATGCATTCCCAGATACTGAGAAAATCGTCAGCATCATACATACGATGAACTTGTAACAGCTTAGGTTGGTTGTCAAGAGTTAATCTCAAGCAACTAAGCATATATCAAAACAGCATAGTTCAGATATTTGTTCACTTCTTTATTTTGTTTAGGCGTTATATTTCTATCTATCTTATATTGCTTGTTGAGAGGTTTTGTTTGTCTGAGTAAAAAACCCCACGCTCCACTGTGACTGCGCGAAGATAAAAATAAAGACCTATTTCCTTACGAGTCTGCTTTCTTCTATTAATAACGCGAGGGTTACCATAAGGCACGAAAAACTACAGTGCAAATTCGTGCATGGAGGATAGTTGAAAGATGCATTCCAAGTATGGACCGGGGACAGACGACAAAAAAATCAGAACACAGAGAACACCGATTCGATCTCACTTAATAGAGAAGCCCTGGAAGACGTGCAATATTTTGCTCGTTCAATTTTCCCATGTTCGGCGATCCATAGTACTGCATACGATTGATTTGTCTTGATGGACGACTTATCTATCCTCAGCGACATTGCAGTAGCTCCAAGTCACTTTCCTGTTCATGACCATTCCTCAATAATTTGAAACAATTCGTTTACGAATTGTCCTGTCTATATCTATCTACAGCAAATACGTCTAAATACCGCAATAAGACCGCTCTACATATGTAACGTTTTATTGCGCGTTTCTCAATAACTCACCGTCAAATAAAGTTAGTCGAAGACACCAGTGTTGCGGATCGAAGAGGTAAAATGGATCCGATATTTCCATTAACGGGACCCAGCTATAGAAACTTAAGATGTCAAAGGAGAAAAACACATTTTTTTAATTACTCCTTCAATAAATCGATAATGTGAAGGATCAACATTGTTACTTGCAATGAACTCAACAACAAAACCCTGAAACTAAGTAAGAACGAGAGGTATGAATTAATAAACCGGATTTCATAAATCTAAATAGATCCATGAATTCTGCCCTTTAAAATTTGATTAGTAATTGTTCCATTAGGGTGCAACCTGTTTTTATCTATCGTACGCCACCGAGTGCCTTAAATTTTCCTAGACTAAAATGACCAACAAAATCACTGAGGTCAGTGACACGGACAATTTTTGAGTCACAAAATACATAAATTTTTAAAACTCATGTGAAATACTATCTCACCTGGACTACAGATCAGAAAGCACTGTATTTCAGTGCCAATCAAAATTGAGTCCATTCTCTGGAAAAAATGTGAACTAGTATCGATCAACATTTTTAAATTTCATACAGTTAGTTCCCTTTATGAATTTAAATAAAGCAAGAACAAATATTGATGCAGAATAGTATGAATTCATAATATTTCGAGGTTTCTCGTCAGCTGCTTACAACCAAATATGTGATAAAAATTTTACATTGAGATAGTGTAAAACAATTGGCATAAATGAATGTAAATAACTGGAATGGCAAAGGTTTACAATAATAACTATATATATATATATATATATATATATATATATTAGAGGTAATAGAACAGCGATAAGATAGGTTACGTAATAATTGAATAGAATTAGAAAGGTTAACATGATATAAGAGGATTAGTGGGCGGAAATGTGTGAATGGAAAGTTGGTTTAAGAATAAGGTAATGAGGGGGAATATAACCCAAAATGAATATTTTGAAAATAAAATAAGTGAATAAAATAACACATAATAATAAATAAATAAATAAAGTTACCAGGGTAATAATAAGTTTATTAACGTCTCTTTTTGAATGCATAAATCCGGTTTAAGTTTTTTTATCGCAATCGCTTCCGCGAACCGGAGAGTAGTAGTACTCCGTTGTCTATTGATAATTTTGAAAGCGTGTGAGATATCAATGGTATGCCCGGTGTCCAGTAAATGCCAAGCTATCGCACTGTTAAGAACCTTCGTCCCTCGCAGCCTCAAGTTCTTTGGAGCATGCTCAGAAATACGAACATGTACTCTTCTCTCAGTTCTTCCAATGTATGTGCTTTGGCACGTACATGTGAATTGGTAAA